AACTTTTCAGGCTTCACAAAATTACACGAATCTTCTCTTGGTGGCCTGCCCGACGATGGAAAGTAGCGGGAGTGAAAACTGCCCCCCTCCAAGCCAAACTGTTGCCCCCGCTGACGCGTAGGTTTACAGCCTGATGTTTACATATCGTAGAGATGACTGTCAGTTGTAAAAGAAATATTGACTCATCGCAGAGTCAGACCTTGTGGTCACAAGAAGCGTAGACAGTTGGCGGGTACAGCTGATCGCACTATTACTATGAGCAAGAGCATGATTGGCACGCTTTTATCACATGTCCTCTTCAGTTTTGTTGAGCTCCCCCCCCCCTTCATAGTACGATAGGAAAAGTCATATTAAGTCGATAGAAAACAGGGGTTGTATCTCGACAGTAGGCGGGAGCCCGCGGTCATGGATAGGGATGGAGAATTCCCGCAAAAAAATCAAGATTTTAGGCTTCTTATAGCCTCGGTCGTACTATTTATTGCTCCCCATCCTGCTAGCATTTTGCGCTGACCAAAGCGACGTAGCAACACGGCACGCCATATCTCGGGACCTCTAGCGTGGGTGGTATTTTAGTCGCTGGAGGAATGGGGAGACGTCAATATTTGGCCCAAAATCTTTTTTGGTTGCTTATTTTGTCATCTCACGTGCATTAGATATCTTTCTCGTCAGCGGCGCCTCAAAATGCTAATTCTGGTAGTTGCTCGGAAGGCCCCACCCCTACCCTCCACTCGGTTTTGGTTTTTTTATTTCGATCTTTGTACAGTTCTTTGAGAATTTTGCGAGATTGTGGGTCATTTGTGCAAGAAGTATGAGCGCGGGGCATGGGGGTTCAAATCAGGAAGTGCCAGGAGAGCAGAGCATCTCTCCTAACTTATTTGCCACCTTTTGGACTACGAGCATTCAGATAATTTCTCATTGCACCTCAAGTGCATGCCGCTTATCATTTGGTGCGCAGACGCTTAGACGTGGTAGTGCCTGCGCCGCAAGCATTGCGAGCCTTGCTACTACTCTTGCACGCCCTCAAAAGTACGCTGAGGAAAATGGCAAGCCTGACCGACGAGGCTGCAGCTCCACCGCGGGCCTTTTGCAACGCCCAACTCTATTTTAACACTAATAACAGAGTGCATTACTAAATCCGCTCCCTTTTGAATGGTATGAGGTTGAAGGTGTAAGGCACGAAAGAGCTGGCAACAACAAGTGAAAACTCGTCGCGGACCACCCCCTTCTCGCCTCATACCGTATACGGGCGACGGTTCGGCGGTGAGATTCTCATAAGACATATCTAGGTGCGGAGATTTTTCTGCTTTTTTTTCCTCTACTTTATCATTAACTTGCCAATCTTTCACTGGTACTTGAGCGGCAGAATTTACCATGTTCGAACCCGGAAAGTGCTTTCGAAGTCCTCAGCCAGAAGCTAGTCACATTTTCTTTTTTCCTGACTCTAGTTCGAAAGCTCCTACTGAACTTTCTCCTCCTAGGGCCTTTCTTCTTTTGATCTCATTATGTCCCTGTTTTCCATTTTCTCAGCAACTTTTCAATCATCCTGTCCTTACTTTCTCTATTTACTATCAGTTTCGCTACGGGCTGTTCTTCTGAAATTTCGGAAAATAATCCTTGGTTTTAACTTAGGCCGCATTCGCTGTTTGCCGCGCGGCGATGGCGGCTTGGCGTGGACACGTCTAATGGCGAACTTATCTACGAGACTTTAAAACATTCACTTTTGGGAAGGACAGCTCCTATTAATACTAAGGTGCACGTTCCTAGCTGTAATAAGCACTACCGACTACCACCTGCATCAAGGGGGGGGGCGGGGGATGTCAACTTCACTTAGCAGCTGGTTTTCTCCGACCACCAGCTCATTGACATCGTGTGTGTCCCTGTGTAGTTCGCTATTTCAAAAGGTTGTTTCAGGTTCCATTAGTACTCAGGTATTGACAGCTGTCTGGCAGTGATTTACCTTGAGTCACGTGTTGTCTGGGCGCACATCGTATTTAAAAAGCGCTATTCTAAATCACGGAAGCACACCGTGAATTCCATTCCTTGTCGTGAACCTAATTGTTGATGCCTTGTATCATTATTGCTACTCTTTCCATTGATTTCTTGTTCAGTTCTTTGTCTACAATTGACTCTTTTTTGTTACAAAAACATTCGGGATTGCCTTTCGGAAATCGAAATTCCACCATTTATTGCCTCAAATTTCAGCGATGATCTTCGAACTTCTCGCCATTTATGCGTCGATTATTCTTGGCTGTATCATTTCCACTACCTGTCTGATACTACTGGATAAAGACTGGGGACCACTACCTCATTATTATTTACAATTCATTGAATGGATCCAAAATTTCTATCAAGATGTTTATCCTCAATCGGATGAGGGGCAGTGGCCCCGCTATCATTTCAGAAGGTATTTCGTTTTCCTGTCACTTTTTTTACTTTTTCTAGCCAAAGTCTTCTAACCTGTTCAGAACCAAAAACTCGGTCTATTGCACCTGAAGAAAGGTTCTTCTTTGGCTGAATTCGCGTTCCTTCTTTCACCGAGGGACCATCTAGAGATTTCCGTCGATGCAATACACGCTGGAATCGAAGCGATCGTCCAGGTTATCTTTATATTTTTACAGTTATCGGGAGCCTAAAAAAACAAGCTAGCTAAAGTAAACCATTCCGATGAGCTGTGCCCCTTCAGTGCAATCTGTTCGCCTCAGCTTCATTCACGTTCCACTGTAACATTCTACATCTGACGGCAACAAGAGGCGTGGCTTCGAGGGTGGCGAGGCTGCGGGTCCAGAAGAAATAGGGAGAAAGACGTGCTCATAAGAAGAGATAGTAGCCAATACTCATCTCTACGAGACATCTCTTTCCGCCCTTTATTATGGGCGACAGCATGGTCATGATGGCGTTTTCTCGCTAAAAAGGTCGTAGGAACCTAGCTGGGCTATGGTTTCTGCATCAGTGCTTCTTTTGGAAATTCGCTAAATGTTCGCAAAGCCTTCTCAATCGCGTGGAGGAGGCCTCATGTGGTCCTATAGGATCACGGGATTGGGCGTGGCGGCGGGAGATCAAGATCACTGAGCTTCCGCCAGCGCTACATCGAAAGGATAATTAGGAAAATAATGCGCTTTGGCTATGGTATGCAGAGACATTCCCATCAAACAGGACTGCTTACAGAAAAAATGACGTAATGAGTTATACCTCTATAGATGTATTAATATTTGGGTCTCGGAGAGCACCGCTAGCATCTGAAGTTGACTACAATCTGATTTCAGGACGATTTGAGTAGCGCATTCTACCCGGCGCCCACGTACAGCGAAACACTCCTGCGGTCATCTCCATTGCCACATTGGAACAAGACACAGAAAACCATCTTCTATTTCGGAATGCTTTTCAGGTAGAGGAACTTTTCTGTACAATAAACTTCGGAAAACGAAAGGATTGAAAGGGCTGACTTGATCGTTATGTACCTGGGGCTCTCACGCGCCGGAATTAAATTCTAAATCGCAAAAACGTTGTGGTAGTGGACGTTGTGACAGGGCACATCATTTTTGGGGATTTTAGTCGAGTCCGTACGACCCCCTCCTCCCCTCCGGCCCTCTGTCCCTCCTCATCGAATCGAGCCGTCGAGCGAGGGGGGGGGTAAATAGCACATGTGAAACAGGAAAAGCCGCGAGACAATACGACCCCCTTCCCAACAGTGAGCAAGTACGACCCCCCCCTCCCTTTTACAACGTCAACGTCCATGAAGCGAGAAAAATCAACTATCAAAATAAATTTTTCTCAGCCCAAATACGACCCCCCTCTCCTGGCGGCCAAATACGACCCCCTGTTGGGGATTCCCCAACAACGATGTGCCCTGCGTTGTGAGCGTTTGAATGAATGATGGACTGGGCGCTGGGCGCTGAGTTGCGACAGCAAGCCAGCAGGATTCTCAGTCCTTACTGGTGTTTATGGAACCGTTCTAAGACCCAAGGTTGCGGAAAATTCGGTGGGCAGAGGTTCGATGAGCTGCAGATTGCCTCACGGTAGATAAGTCACAACCGCGAGCGGGATCAATAGACTGGATCACGCCCAGGAGAGGTGATTCCTTCATAGTTCTGAGGTTTGTGAATTAACAGAATCGTCAATATTCTAGCTTTATCAAGCATACTTGACGGGGAAGAGGATTGACCGTTTTTGTCCTGATAGTTTTGTATCTGTTGGCCTGCCAACCTGATGCTGATGCTGGCATTGACGCCGCTTTAGCATATTTTGCAAGACATATTTCTTTCCTCAGTAGGAATCGAACTTGCGGCTTTTGAGAGTGCAGATATAGATATAGATAATGCATTCTTGACTGTTCCTACCCAGGGTTGATAAAAATTGATTTATTCAACGGTTAGGGCAAGCAAATGTTCGTACAGTCCACATACAGTGCTTAGCGGAGCGTTGTGTGAAGGCGCCCTAGGCGCATGCGTTTTGGCTCGCTTGTTTCCATTGCTCGCCCCAGTGGGCAACGGCTGGTGGGAACGAGCTAGCGCTGCGCCACAACCTACAGGATCAACGTTTTCCACGCATTCCACCACTGAATGCACCGCTTCTGCTGTCTCAGGCCTGGCCTCAAAAGGAGCACAAGCTATAGAGTGCAGCCTGCTCTTCCTTTGAACGCTTAAACGTGATACTTGCGTGAAAGCATGTCGAAACTGCTAAATCGATTGCGTGGCGCCAATCAAGTATAAACTAGTGCTTCATGACAAGCCCTTCATAAAAAAATGCAACTTTTGCCTCGTCTACGCAATGCGTTTCAACTGTTACTAATACCCTTTCAGGTTCGGTTTGTTATTCCCGATCCGCCTCTGCCTCTTTGCTCTTGTCTTTCCTGTTTTTTGCAGGGGCTGCCGTTGTTTTCTTTGAATAAGTAGTCAGGGTCTCCGTCTGTTTTTCTGACTCGAAAGGCAAGATGTCCAGAACTCACGGACGATGAGAAGACATGGGTTGGCATTGTCTTCAGCAGATTGTTCTGTAGTTCAATGGGCGTCGTCGCCACCTACAAGAATAGACAGTTCAGGCCCAAAGGACCAGGTGAGGATATTGAATGCAGGAGGAACCATCCCTATGCGGGTCTGTGGGTCAGAAACTCCTATCAAAGCCCGTAGAAATCATTGGGCGGCGATCATTGAGGGCACTGCCGCCAAATATGGATAACTGTGAAAGATTTTTTTATTTGTTGATTATTCTTATGAGTTTTCATATTGGACTGTTCTCTGTATCTTTGCAAATTCGTTTTAGCGCACGCATTTTGGGAACCGTGTGGCTTCACAATATCACTCTGAGAGAAGAGTGTTTTCGTTTGATTGACATTAACAAATCTTTAGATTGTTGATATTTTTATGTTTCTATGGTGCATACATGCTTCGTATCCCGAAGATGGAGAGGGCGTGGTGGCGTTACTCGCCTAAACAAACCACAGGACGCGTAGGACGCATAGCACGTCTAGTAAGACGGGTTCTCCGTGAGATCGTTCCATTTAAGACAACTGTCACGCTGTCTTGCGCTGGACAAAGATATTATTGCAATTGCCCCAAAACGGTCCCACTTGAAGTGCACCCGTCGCCACTATGAAATGAAGTAAGCAGCCACGCCCTACCGATTTCCGCGGTATGTACCAGACACCCGACAGTGCAATCTAGCATAATGGGGATCTTGACCGCTTCCCTCGAGATTCTTCGCTGTCTAGGATATTTCGTGCAGCGCCAAAATAATCTGAAAAGTAACTTATGCCAAATAACTCTGAAAATTACTTGTCTAATTGTAAACAAGCAGTGAGTGACTTTCAAATTTCAGGTGTAGCAATTTCCAATCACCTCTCACCAAACGACGTACAGTTGCTGTTCGCAGGAACTCCTCCAGGCTCGCCCTACGGTTACGTGATCACCGGCCAAAAACATACTGGTATTATCGGTGGGTAACTTCAACGACTTGTCTACACAAAAGAGATTTATCTGACGTGACAGACTGTTTTCGTGAACTTGCCAGTAAACTGGGACCTGACAGCGCGCCAGTGTAATGAAGTGGAATTTTCTTAGTTCTTGTCGGGACTACTTCTTCATGTCCCCCTAAAGTCTTGTACACCTCACGCAACGACAACAAACGCGCCTCTTGCGAGTCAATGGCATCTGAAAGCAAGCGAAGTAAGTTAGGCAAAGTGGGGATACGGGATAGTTGACTCAAAGCTCATGAGAGGCGAGGCTCCTTTTCGCAAAAAGAATTTGTTCACATATCCGGATACCCCTTCTAAGTTCCAGCGAAGTTCGCTCATCTTTCTGCCTCACAATCGTACCTTATTATTAGACCACTAAATACAACGCTTCTGCTATAAAGGATGCGGCTATGCAGCAGCACGACGAAGTGATCTCCTCTTTCCACGACCTGACCTCAAATGACAGCAGGCATTCAGAGTGCGGTCTGGTCCCTTGTCGCAGCGGAGCAGACTTGGCCACGAGGCCCCAACAAATACAATAGCACCAGTGCAAAAACCATCACGACATAGCAGTCGAAGAAATGGCGTGTGAAATTGAAAGTGGTAGTTGCTCGAGAGTACAGGACCTCACTAAGAAGCCCGTCAGGTAGACAGGAACTGACAATGCCGTACTTTACTATGCTAGCACCCTTGAAAGCACACTAGCAAAATGCATGCAGGCTATCGTGAAGCAGGAAAAAAACTACCCGATATCACGCCATGCACATTTTGCCAAAAGAAAAGTAAATTTCTTCTTGGCGCTGGCGCTAATGG